GCCGGGCAGCTGACATTTGCAGGATCTTCATTCTGAGGTCTGAAGCCAACAGCCAGTCAGTTACTGGCCTCGGTGACATCTCAAGATGTGCCTAGCAAGGCTTTTGCGCTGTTCAACATAGCCACTAGCTATGTGTGGCTTTTTAAATGTAAATTTATGTATGTATGTATGTGTGTATTTACTTATTTCGAGACAAGGTCTTTCTCTCTCACCCAGGCTGGAGTGCAGTGGTGCAGTCATAGCTCACTGCAGCCTCCAGCTCCTGCGGTCAGCCTCCCAAGCAGCTGGACCTATAGGCATGTGCTACCATGTCCAGCCAATTTTTTATATTTTGTAGAGACAGGGTCTTGCCATGTTGCCCAGGCTGGTCTCAAACTCCTGGGCTCAAGCGATCCTCCTGCCTCAGCCTCCCAAAGTGCTGGGATTCTAGGTGTGGGCCACGGTGCTCAGCCCTGAATTTAAACTAAAACGTATACAATTAAATTAAGAAGCCAGTGCCTTAGTAGTCACACTACCACATTTCAGGTGCACATGCGCACATGTGCTGTGGCTTGAGGCAACCATACTAGACGGCTCAAGTAAAGAACATTTCCATCTTCACAGCAAGTTCTCTTGAATAGTTCTATCTAGAATGTGGCATGGTGCTCACACACTGAAGAAATAAAAAACACCTCTACTAACTTCATCTTTTTTTCCATTACCTTTCTTTTCTTGCTATAGAATGTCTATATACACATTCTTTGAGAGTAGAGAAGAGACATTTGATGTCAAATATCTGGGTTCAAGCCTCAGCTCCCCCACATCAATTTTAGGAGAATTATTTAGCACCTGTTTCTGCATCAATAAAAGGAGGTTCCCAGGGTAATGGAAATAATATAGGTAATAAACATTAAGTTTTTGGTAAACTCTACTGACTGTAGATTCCCACCAAGTGATGCACAGAGAAATGGGAAGGGTCACGTCATTAAATTTTTGTTAAACAGAGGTGTTTTGGAGGAATAATATTGGTGGTTTTTCAGAAGACACAGTAAGGATAAAATGATGCTACTTCCTTTGAGGTGGGAGGCACCCTTTAGGGAGCCTTCTTGACTTTTAGATTTTATAATGCAAAGTCTAGGACATTCCGATCCGTAGAATATTAACACACACCTTGGAACTTAACTCAGGAGTCTCTGGAGGTACACGGGAAACAATGACAAGACCCATCCATTTGTCACTCGAGACAAAAAGATAAGTTTTCATTGTTCTTTCTTCTACTTTAGTGTATAAATTTGCGCGAAATTCTGTCCTGACTTTGGCATCACTTTCATGCAAGTCTGTTAATGCTTGCCCAGTGATAAATTGGGCCCTCTCTCTCCTGTGTTGGTATGAAGGGGTCTTTTTGTCGGCAGGATTATTTCCCCAAAAGGACCAAAGGACACTGGAATTTCCCATGTGGCACAAAGGTGCCAAGAGGAAAGCACCCCTCCAGAGGAGATGGTCTCAGAGAGGAGGAAAGGGCTGGATTTCCAGCTGACTCTCACTCTCCAGAGGCCGGCATCTGAGACACGGGCCAGAAGAAACCAGCAGTTCTGGTTTCCAGGGGCCTGTCAATGGCATCCTTGCCCCACTCAGAGGAAGGGCACACTCTGCTCTTGCCAATGTGAGAACACCCCAGACGACTGGAAGGGAGCAGATAGGGCCTTTGCACCCCTCCCCAGCCTGTCCCTGAACCTCCGGCCAGTCTCAGGATGCTGGTTGTCAGGGCCCAGTCAGCCAGGGCCCAGCAGGCATATAGGACAACCCTGGACACTGCCAGGCTGCTTCCCAACAGCGTAAGAACTCGCTTGAGTAAGCGATAGGGGGAGCTAATCTCCTATGTCTATGTCTGAAGTCAGATTGTCCTTGGTTCAAATCCTGAGTCTGCCACTTATTAGTGGGAATTATTTTAACCTCTCTGAGTATCAGTTTCTTCTATAAAATGGGGACAATGATATTTTTTCAGAGGGTGCTATGAGGGTCAAATGAAATAACAGTTGTAAGCAGTTAGCACAGCACTTGCTTCATACTCATAATCATGTACATCCTTGTTTTGCCTTTTTCTAGTTTGATTTTGGGCACTTCAGCCTCTCTCTGCCCAGTCTTCCCATCTGTAAAATGGGGACAATAACAGCACCAGCCTCACTGGAGTGTTTAAAGGATAAAATGAGTTAGCATAAGCAATATACTTAGAACAAGGCCTGGCACGCATAAAAATGTGAAGTAACTGTCTGCTACTCTTCTTCATTTAATCAATATTTGTTAAGTTCTTGCTATGTGCCACGCATAATGATAGGAGCTGGAATGGTGCCTGTTATTAACCAGTCTGCTTTCCACACACTCCAGGCTGGTCAGGAAGTTCTGCCCTGCCTGGCCGTGCCCCGTCCACACACACATTGACGAGGAGCCCACTCCAGGCAACGTTCTGTTTGGCCCCCATCTGGGGCTCCTCAGTCTCCATCGCCTCATTCCCAAGTGCAGGAAACCGGTTCCAAGGACAAGTGCCTGCTACACATTGCAGAAATAGTGCTGGAATAAGGGCATCTCTGAGAAGATCCATTCAGCTGTCAGAGAGCACTCGGGGATGCCTCCCACTGGTGTGCAGAGGTAACTGACATGAAAGTGCGTTAGAATTCACCACCCACCTGAGGTAAGTGCGGCATTTAAAAATGCATACCTATTTCAAGTAAAAACAGAGAGATGCCTCATTGTCATTTCTGTGATTGTCACAGTGACTTTTGTCTTCAAGTTTTTTTTTTTTTTTCTCTAAGGAACTGAAGGCACATTGGCCTGGGATTGTCAGTGTTCTTCACTGTGTCCAAACTGGATGCTGTTCGGAGAAGGCCTTATCATGCGGGGCGCAGCAGTCTTCTCCCTCGACAACTCCAGCTTTTTTGCACTGCCCATTCTCTGCCCTTTTTTGCACTCGCCTTAAGTTGTATTCCAATATCCTTAGATGTGATTTTATATGTTCTTATATCACAGTGTGTATGTGTGTTTCTACTTATGAAAGACAGAGATACAGATACAGAGACCGAGGAAGGGAGAGAAGGAATGAGAGAGACAGAGCATGAGAGAGAGAATGAGAGAATGATGGAGAAAATGAATCAGACCACAAAAGCAGGGCATAGACCATGACGATGTTTACCTGCCTGCTGGCTAAGGCACCTATATTTTCTAGGGCAGAATAACTTTTCATGTGTTTTGAGTGGGGGCGGGAGGCGGTGTACAGTAGCTTGAACAATAGCTTCTCTGTAAACATTGTCAGTCAACTGCAGGAGAAACACCGCCCCTCTTCAAAAACGACGGTAGTGAAAATGGAGCAGGTGGGACTGCAGCTAGGAGGGTAGTGGGTAGGCTGTAGAGTTTTCGCCACCAAATGACCGCAGCTGTTTACAGATGAGCTGGAAGCCTGGAGCGCCGGGTGTGCCTGCCACTTCGTTCCTGGGACAGCCCCTGCGTGTGCTGGGTGATGTGTCGCCACCAAGCCAGGCCTCATGAGCACAAGGTTAGATCCTCAGTGTTAAAAAGGTGCTGGATCCGGGAGGCGGACAGCAGACTGAGGTCAAGGGAAGCCCTGGAAATGCTGAGAGGGCAAAGGGATGGTGAGGGACTTTTATGTTCCCAGTACAGGAAGAAAAAAAAAAAATGTATTTCAAGAGGAAATGATGCTTCATTTAGAGCACACTTTTCCAGGTTATCTGATTCTGGGCCTTGCATTGTCTTTTATCAGTTGTGGGGTTGGGGTGAGTGTGGGTCACAGGCGTGCCTGTGCTTCTCCAGGTTTCACAAGCCCCTTTGGGGCGTGCAACCTGCTGCTTTAATATTTGTTGCAGGCTGACCTGGTTCCTGGTTCCTGATTTAGTTCTGCCACTAGGTGGCGCAAGCTAACTTTTTAGGGGTGCGGCGCTCAATGCAAAAGGCAAGGGCATCATGAGCTGACGTTCCTGGATTTGAATCCTTTGTTAGTTTTGTGACCTTGGGCAAGCCACAGTTTCTCCTTCTGTAAATTAGACAGGATGAAAATCACCTTGCGGGGTGGTTGTGAAGATTAAATGAGACGACGTGTGCTAAGCATCTTGCACAGTGTTAGGCACACAGTCTAAATGGCTGCTTTTCTCTTTCCTTGTTCATCCATTCAATACACACTTATTGATCCATATTTCTGTGTCATGGCTGATAAGGACTTTGTCCACAAGCATCTTACAATTTAGCAGAATGTCTTACACACACACACACACACACACACACACACACACACACACACACTACAGTCTTTGCTGGAATATAAGACTTATCTTCCACTCCCTGGTTTAAATTTATCCAAAATTTACTCTGTGCAAATGTATTTATGTATGAAAAGCCACATTCTGAAGAGGAAACACAATGGTAGATATATAGCAACAACAACAGCAAACACTGAAAATACTCATTTCATGCTTCTCTTTCTCAGAAAAATTACAAGCCATTGGCCTCACAACTCAAGTACAACGTCAATTTTCCCACGTAATTTTTATTTAAAATATTTTATTCCTGTAATACTTTCATTTCAAGTATTTATTGCTATAAATACTTTTCTTTTTATCTATATAATACTATGCTTTTCTTTCCAGAGTTAGAAGAGCATTACTATCTATGCAGAATCTATTATTCCCTGCTGGGTTCTGCTATAGAGTATTACATGAACAAGATAACGTGTTTCCCTCATAAAAGCAATTTAAAATCCCTTTCAGGCCGGGCACGGTGGCTCACGCCTGTAATCCTAGCACTTTGGGAAGTCCAGGAAGGCGGATCATGAGGTCAAGAGATGAAGGCCAACATGGTGAAACCCTGCCTCTACTAAAAATACAAAAATTAGCTGGGTGTGGTGGCAGGTGCCTGTAGTCCCAGCTACTCAGGAGGCTGAGGCAGGAGAATGGCGTGAACCCAGGAGGCGGAGGTTTGCAGTGAGCCGAGATCGCGCCACTGCACTCCAGCCTGGCAACAGAGCGAGACTCCCTCTCAAAAATAAACAAATAACAACAACAAAAAAAAAACTATTTCAAAACATGTATGTCTGTCCCAGAGGAGGGCACAGTGACCCTTAGGACAGTTCCCTCAGGATGGCCCTGGGCTGTGGGCCAGTGAGCCCTAAGTGGAGGGTGTGTGAAGAGGAGGTGGTAGGGGCCAACTTGCGAGGGATTTGCATGTAACACTAAGGAGGTCAGGTTTTGTCCACAGGACACTGGGAGCCACAGCAAGCTTCTGAGCTGAGGAAGGTGGGATAATGTCCCCAGCCATGATCCCTGGGAAAAGCAAGGTCCATCCAAAGCTGGAGGCTAGATAGCTTCATCCTCAGTCGCACCCCAAACCTTCTTCCCATCCCACCTCCTCTCTTTCCCTCCTCCTCCCTCTACTGTTCATTCATTCAACAAATGTCTGTTACCCATATACCATATTGCAGATACTGTTTTAGACACTCCAATTAATCACAGAAAAAACAGTGACAAAGCTTCTTCCTCCCTGGAGCTTGCAGAAACACTCTCATTATGATATTTGCATATGCGTGTGTCTTCTTTCATATGCGCCTCTTGAGCTGTTTGGGGCCACAGTCCTCCATGTGGAAGAAGCTGGGAATATGGCTTTTCCCCTGAGGCCCAGCTGCATCCCTACCCTTCCCATGGTTTGGGGAACCCTTCCTTCAATTTCATGTGATGCTTCAGTATTTTTCCAGTAATCTCCCCTGCTTCCACAGGACTAAACCGGTTCAATTTCAGCTTCTGTCACATGCCATCAAAATGTTCCTGCTAGAAAGGACTCAGCCAAGAAAACTGGAAAGAATTTCTTGATTATGTCATGATGCAGGACCAGCTCTAGAGTGGGGTCAAGGGCCCTGTGGCAGGATTCCCACAAGTGTCTGGATGGCTGGGCCCTGTTTCCGTTCTAGGGCCTAAGTTGGAGACTGAACGTGCATCAGCCATGTTAGTCTCGAAAGCCTGTGTTATAAAAGAAGACTGTGCCTATGTATGGTGTAGTTCGGGTTTCCCTGAAAGCAGAGCGTGAGACAAGGACTGGATGCAGGTGGTTCATGAGGGGTGTGAACCTGGGAAACAGGAGTGTGGGAGTGAGGACGTGAGATGGGGCAGAAGGTGGGGCCAATATACGGACACGTTAAAGTTGCCCCTTGATTCTGTTGACCCTCTTAAGAAATTTACAGGATGCTTTCTACAGTTATCCACCTGAAAACAAAGGCCAGGCATCCATCTACTGGCTCCTGTCCCCTCAGTGACTGGCAGTTGTCCTGGGAGTGTTAACTGTCCTAGCAAGCCAGGGTGCTTGCTCTCTGGATGTTTCAGTAACTCTGCCTTCAGAGAAAACCCTGGTGCATAATGCAGAAGATGCTTAGCACAGGGCTCAGGGAATCTGAGGCTGCACAGAACCGTTCAGCAGCTGTGGTGGAAAGCAGAGGAGGCCTGAGGACATGTGATACAGGCACCAGAGGTGTCTCCGCCATACCTTACTGAACTTTGGAGCTATGTTTTAAATTATATGACCTCAGTTTGGGTGACATGCCCCTGGCATAGATGACGCTGTCTCTGGCTCATATCTGGAATATTAGCCTCTGCCAGGACTCCAGTCTTAAGCATGGGTCTGGTAAGAAAGCGATGAGCTTCCAGAAGTTCTAATGAGGTTCTCATTCAACTTTGCACTGTCTAAGTGCCGATGGTGAGGCTGATTTGGGGGGACTCAAGAAGTACGCACATTCTTCAAAACATGTAGCTTTCTCTACTGTGTACCCCAACTGTGCTGACTTCCTTAGACCTTTGATTTGCCCAACGGTGTTAGGATGCCTGGCCCATCCTCCAGCCTGGGCCGACTATTGGCATTGATCAGTGTAGCAGTGGTGCACAAATCCTGCTGCTCTCCCCACTCAGAGTCCTGTTTAAAGCTCTCCTGTGTGGCTGCACACAGTAGCAGAGTCTGCACCTGGAATGCCTGTTCCTCTCCTTCCTGGCAGCCAGGCTCCATTTAGTTTAAGGATTTTGTGGCCAGGAATGTTATCTGAGCTGTCACCATCATGCTTTGTCACCCTCAAGTGAATGACAGGAAATGGATCGGCGAGACCTGTCAGTTTCCTTGCTGCTGGCATCACTCAGGTTCAACCACGAGCATCACACTGTGAGTCGCTGAGGAGGTGGAGAGAAGCCACTCAAATGTCTCTGCCAGACTTCGAAAGAGCTTTAGGAGATACAAGTGCCTTATCGATTGGTGCCTGTTCTTCTGTCCTGATTGTTGCTTTGAGCCATGCAGCTGTGTTACTATGGGTGCCTGCCACTCTCCTGAGGGTGCAGAGCCTGTCTTATGAGACCTGAGAAAGAAAAAGTCACCAACCCCCAGGTCTGGCTGGAGTCCCCTCCTTACTTAACATACACAATTTCACAGAACACCAACATCAGACAAGGTCATTCTGTGGCGGTGGCAGAGTGAGACAACACCACCACACTGAAACAAGAACACCCAGCAAACTATGAAAATGACCAGATAGCTCCTTCTCCTGGCAAATATGAGGGGTGTTTATCAAGTCCAGCTCCAGCCCTGCTCTGTTTTTCCCACAACCTCCTAGATACAAATTGTTAGGCTGCCCAATGATAAAATTATCCCACTTTCTGACAGCTCCCGAGCAAGACCATGCTTCCCAACCTTCCCCAAATCACCTAACCCAAGCCCTGACCTCCTGAGAGGCTCCTCTGGACACCGTCCTACTGAGACACCCATGGTTCCTCGTGTGGGTGGTCTTCCTTGCTGCAACAACTGCCAATAAACCTAACTTTGATCGCCCAGAGGTATGTTGCTGGTGGTGCTGGCGGGTGGGCATAGCCCCAAGGAAACTGGCCAGTGCCAGTCCTCTGCACAGGAAGGAGGTGCTTCCTGGGCGCCCACCGCATCAGCTGCGGGAGTGATCCCTGGGAGCCATTTGGCAAGGCGAGCTGGGCTCTGACCTGAGGGAACCTTTGTTGGTTGGCTCTTATTGCGGATGTTTTGGTGTCCAGTGTCGCATCCTTGGGCCTCCTTGGATATCAGCCCCAGCTGTGGTCGAACTTCCGTGGGGACTCAGATTCATCTTGCACGACATCCAGGTCAGGCCCCATCCTCTCCACATTTCTGCCTTGGGGCCTTCTCTAAAGCCTCGGGAGCCTGCTCTGCTCTTGTAAGTGCAGCCTGCGAAGTGTCCTGCAGGGAGTGAACGGCCTCGGGTATAACCTTCAACCAGTAAGGGATGAGAGCTGGTGGGAAAATGTCTCAGTCTGCGGTTCTTTAGGTAAGTAGTTCTGGAACACGTTCTCTGGGCATCTCAGAGTAGAAAGAATCAAACCCCCTTCCTCGCAGCACCCTCACATTGACTTTTCTTCCCTCCCTATCTTACTCTTCCCTCTCTCTCACTCCTGCTTCCTGGGATTACCTCCCAAATAAATCACCTGCATCCAAGGCCTTGCTCAGGTTCTGCAGTTACATTACCCTAAATTAAGACACCTCCCCAGCAATCCCTACCACCACCTCCTTCTTGCAGAATTTTCTTTTCTTTTTTGAGACAGCGTCTCTCTCCGTCACCCAAGCTGGAGTGCAGTGGCACAATCACGGTTCACTGCAGCCACAACCTCCCAGCCTCAAGTGATCTTCTTGCCTCGGCCTCCTAAGTAGCTGGGACTACAGGCATGTGCTACAATGCCTAGGTATTTTATTTTTATTTTTTGTAGAGACTGGTTTTTGTCATGTTGCCCAGGCTGGTCTCGAATTCCTGGGCTCAAGAGATCTGCCTGCCTTGGCCTCCTAAAGTGCTGGGATTACAGGCGTGAGCCACCATGCTCAGCCCCTACAGAGTTTCTTAACCATAATATTGGCCAGAATTGTTTCCATCTCCAGCTCTAATCAAGATTTCCCAAGCTCCTGGCCACAGAGATTAGCTCAGGGGCAGGCACATTCTGTAAGTCAGTTCAGTCCGAGTAAACAGAGCTTTGCTGGGGATTCTGGGGCATAGAGTTAGGCTCAGTCACGGGCCTGTGGGCATATGGTGGCTTAAGGAGAGCTGCACAGTTTTGCTACTTGTCCCTTTGATAGGTGGAGTCTGCTTCCCCTCCTCCCTCAGCCTGGGCTGGCCTGTGATTGCTTTGAGCAAAGGAGTATGCTGGAGGAGATGTCATGTCAGTCCCGGGTCTGGCCTTTAAGAAGAGGGGCAGGTTCCCTGTTGGTCGCTGGAGATGTTCAACCACTGTGTAAGATAGCTGCCCCAGAGATGACAGAGGGAAGTCTTGAGATTATATGGAGAAGGGAGGGCCCAGCTGAGTCCAGCCCGCCAGCCGCCCCTGCCATGTGAGAAGCTCTTTTGTACCCTCCAGAAAAGAACAGCCATGAGCACGGTGGCTCACGGCTGTAATCTCAGCACTTTAAGAGGCCGAGGATCACCTGAGGTCAGGAGTTCAAGACCAGCCTGGCCAACGTGGTGAAACCCCATCTCTACAAAAATACAAAAATTAGCCAGGCATGGTGGCAGGTGCCTGTAATCCTAGCTACTTGGGAGGCTAAGTTGGCAGAATCACTTGAACCCAGGAGGCAGAGGTTGCAGTAAGCCGAGATTGCACCTTTGCACTCCAGCCTGGGCAACAGAACGAGACTTCATCTCAAAAAGAAAAAAAAGAAAAAAAGTTGCTCTTTTAAGCCACTAAGTTTAGGGGTAGTTTGTTATGCAGCAAAAGATAACTGAAACAGTGTAGTGGGAGTCTGGAATTGTTACAGCCACATGCAGAGAGTCTAAAGCCATCCAAAAAGTGATCAGGACAAAGTCCTCTTAAATTTGACCTCAAGTAAGACCTCTGAAATGTCTAAATTTTAGCTCTGTAATTTTTTCTTTTCCACTTTAATTCTACTCGTTTCTAGGCACAAAAGAAAGATGTTGTGATCACTTTAGTTGAAGTTCAACAAGCATGTATTATGTGCCTATCAAGAGTCAGATACTATGCTAGGGACTCTGGGCAAACAGCTAAGCAAAATTTGTTTAAACTCTAGTGGAGGAAACATGTTTTTGATAATTTTAACGCAAAGTGATCCATGTTAAGACAGAGCTACATATGCAGTGCCCCAGAAGAGGGGTAATTAACTCACCCCGGGGGTTTGAGGAAGACCCTCCAGAGACATGATGCATAAACTGAGTCATGCGTGATAGGTAAGAAGCTGGTAAAAGGAGGGAAGGGCATTCTGTGCAAAGGGAACAGAGCATGGTTAGAGCAGAGACAAGCAAAAGGGTGTTGTACTGAGAACTACAGGAACTTTGGTGTTCAGAGATGGGGCAGATAGTGGCAGGTGAGTTCACAGGGTGAGGCAGGGTCAGGGAGGAACTTGTAGTCAGGCTGTGCTGGGGAGGCGGGGCATTACTCTGAAGGTAATGGGGAATCATAGAAGAGATTACGGAAGGAGAGTGCTTTAGGTTGATCACTCGGGCTCTAGTGTAGATCAAAGGTGCTTGAGTGTGTGAATCTGAGGTTCATGGGTAGAGTCAAGGCTGAAGAAACACTCGGAAATTACCGGAACATAGGTGGATTATTACTTCACAATACATATTTTAAGGATCACTACATGCTGGGCATATCCCAATGTTTGAAAAAGATTGTTATTTACAAATATAGGTCTATTTTGTGTCCCACTTGGCAAATGCATCAAAAGGAGGACTCGATTGCCTTCCTGGAATTATTTTTGAAATATCTCTGCCTTCCCAGAAACCAGGGAGTACATATTCAACTCTATCTGAGTCTGTGCTGACGTAAAATTCAGTGAAGATGATATTTTGCAATTTTCTGATTCATGAGTGACTCATCAAGTCATCCAAGCCAGTGGTTCAGAAAACACTTGGGACAAGGCCCTAGAGGTGTGACCTTGGTAAACAATGGATATTTAATAAATATTAATTGTTTTTAAATCTGCAAAGTAATCCTAAGAAGTAGAATTCACTCTGGAAAGGGCATAATGATCTGGTTTGTTAATTGTGAACATATCATCCAGAAACTTAACTTTGTGCTTTGCAAACCACCTAAAGCACAGCCAGTGACATTTGTCACAGCACACAAAGGTTTTCGCTTTACCAACCCAGCCCTCGTATGTATCGGCCAGATGCTGTTACCTTTTGTGCTTTCTGAATGGACTAAGAAGGGGAGGATTAGAACCAAAGAGTTGGAGGATTTTGTCTTAAGCATCTGCCTTATGGTAAAGCCTTGAGAAAATCCAGAGGCCTCTTGACACTACCATGTAATGGCTTTTCCCATTAATGGGAAGCAGATGGGGTTAAAGGGTTGTCACTATTGTTTTAAGCAAGATTCTCACGCAACTTCCTATATCATATGTTTGCAACAAAGTAAGAAAATCATCATATATCCCATGGGAAGGCCACCCCCTTCACTTTTACACGCCATGCTTACTTGCCTTTTATGTTTCTTTTAGTTAGTAAGCAGAAGCTAAACTCTCAAGAGACAAGAATAAAGTGAAAGAGTTCTATTGGTTGTCACACTTGGGTCACAAATTTTCTTGGAAGCTGTGCAATAAAAGAGATCAGAACACCATCGCTTCCCAGAGTGTTTGACCAATTATGACAGCAGTGACTGAGTTCCAGATGGCAGGTACTTTCCTCATATCCCAAACTGAGTACACAGAGCTGGCTCTGGGGCATTGAAGGTTCCTACTTGGGCAGAGGGCAGGAGCTGAATGGATAATATCTGGGAATTGTGAGCACAGGATTTTATAAGTCTTTGTCTCAGTGTCCCGCAATTTTCATCCCATGACAATAAAAAACGAAGCCGAGCCCAATCTTGCCTGAGAGAGGAGGCATCTCAAAATGCAAGCACTGTCCCTGGCCATCCATCCGCCAACCTCCCACTTCCTGGCTCGCGGAACCTTTGTGAGGTTCTGGGTGGCAATGTGCCCAGCCTTTGCTGAGGTACTTTCCTAGCCACTGTCCCCACCACCCTTGCTGCTAGGACTCTAGCCAGCGACACAGATGGGGAGGTCTGCTGGGGGGCTTCTGGGCAAGATCTTTCTCAGTAAAGAGAACGAGGTTATTAACGAGGAGAACTTGTTTCTGCCGCCCTCTCCATCCTGTTTGGGATTCTGGGGCCAGGATGTAATGTTCGGTGTTGTGGTGATCATCTTGTGCCAATAAAGAGATAGAAACCAGGATCAAAAGCCAACAGGAATGGTGAGTGGAAGTTTAAAAAAAGCCTGGATCACAGATGTCTGTAAGCCATTATACCAGGCACGGAACCGCCCGTCCTCAACTAGGCATGAGAGATGACTGAAGTTTTTTATTTCTTAAGCCCCTTGGAGTTGGTTATTCTGCTCCTTGTACCTGAACTCATCCAAACCAATGCACCTAATTTTGGCAGGTCCTAAAACAACCTCACCCTTATTTTTACCCATTCCCATTTGGACAGTCACTGTTTTATTTTCTTTACTCACAAATACTGGGAGGCAATCAACTGTGGAAGTTAAATGTGAAGGCCTTGGAACCAAATGAACCTGGGTTTGTGATCTAGGTCCATCACTTGGAAAGTTGTAGAGCCTTAGGAAAATTACTCTGCTTGTGGAAATCTCACCCTTCAACTATAAAATGAGATAATATAAAATGGAGATAATAGTAGTACTTACATCATTGAACTATTGTGATTATAAGAAAAAGTAACGTGGGTACAACAACTATTGCAATGTTGTTACAATATCAACAACAATATTAATGTTGTTGATATTGTAACAACATTGCAATAGTAATAGTACATAGTACTAACAATAGTAATGTTGTTATTACTATTACCATAGTAAGAGTATGTGCTAGTAAGCTAGCTCAGCATTAGCACTTACGGTTGTTGTTATTACTATGAGTTCTGGCAGTGAATACATATGTTTGCTCACGGAGATGTTACTGTCTAATGATGTCCACGTTTTTCTCTAGTTGATTTTTCTCCCAACTCTTGAAATGTCCTTTTTCTATATCCTAACTCCTGGTTTTTTTCTCCTCCATAGTGGAACCCATGAAGTCAAGCATCCAACTCCATGGTAACTGCTAAGAGGAAACTAAGGAAGTGTGGACCATGGCTCTTTGCTAAAAGAAGCCTATAACTTAGTCTGGAAGATAATTCTGCAGAACTGTGCTGAATAACAGTGTAGGGAAAAGAGCCATCTTAAAGCAACACATATCACGTGTCCATCTGGAACCCACCTGCAAGGCTAGTGTCATCTGGATAGAGAGATTAGGTGAGGAGGTGACAGATAGGTAGGTGGAGGGTCCTGAATACCTGACAAGCTGGGCGGTGGGGGCATTGCCTAAACCAGTCTGTGAGGGGATACTGTAGCCAGGGGCATGGAGCGGGAACCTCAAGGAGACAGTGGTGGCTGCATCATCAGACAAACCAACCCACTACCTAGAGCCGTGTGCCAGAGCCTCCCATGGAGAGTGGTCAAGGATATGCTCAAAAAGTTGACTGGAGATTCTCAAAGAGTTACATTCCTTTTCCTGTGACTCACATCAGGGAGTGGTGGGGGAACAGGACTTTATCTCCAAGATAAAAGTCAATAGGCCTCAATTTTGACTTCCAGCTGTGTACTCAGATCTGTACAGCTGCCTGTCCCTTGTGCATAGTGAAGGCTCACTAGATGATAATAGCTGGGGTCAGCAGCATGACCAGTAGAGCAACAGAATGCAAAGTAGACATAGGGCTGGAGAGCTTGGAACTGTCCATGAGTTTGAGGAAGGGGAGGTGCCTCAGGCCGTTTGTTTTATCTGGAACTAGCCTTGGATATGCCAACACTGACATGTGAAGGGGCATGATGAGCTGGACAGCCCCAAGCGTAGATCGTAACAGGCAGGAGGCACCCTGGGCTTGGCTGTTACACAGGTGTTATGAGCTTATATTGGCTTCGGAGCACAAGGAGTGAGGTTTGTTGGCCTGGTATAGCCCTGGCCTCAAGGCTCGCTTTTGGAAGTCCCTTTCCTTGGTTTGACTTCTACCATTTGTGTTTTGAAGTCTGGCTAAATTGAATGCCAGAGATCAGAGTTCATATAAATAACCAGAAGTTATTGCTTTTGGACAATCAGAGCTTGTGTCTGATTGTCCTTACATCCCAAACACAAGAGATTTGTGCGTTAGGGGGAGCGTGTGCTTTGCCCTTTGTGAATGTCTTCACCACGGTAAGATAAAAACTAGAGTGTTAAACTGTATCTCTTGGCCCAGTTTAATATCTTTGGCTTGGCTAAGATACTGAGAGTTACTCTGTGCTTCTGAGCAGCCCTCCCTTCCATGTTCGTATTCTTATTGCAGCCGTGGACTCAAGAAAGCTCGTTTGCTCAACTTCTGTTAACAGTGAAGGCCCCTGGAATCTTTATATCCCCCAAAGAAAGAAGACTGTGGGCTACAGTGTCAATGTTTTATTATTTTATTTTTAAAAATAATTTGCTTATTCCTACTTTTTTCTAAAAAGGACTGGAGTCTGCTCATAATGAGAACATATGCTACACACTGTTTCCCTCTTTTTTGTTATTTTTTGCTGTTCTGTTATTTATAACAGAGAAACACTTTTATATTTTTAAAGCTCATTCACTATTTCTTTGGTAATATTTCTCTGTTTACTTTTAAAGAATCTATAATTTATCTCCTACAGTTGAGTCAAATACTGTAGTCCAGGGTGTGGCAAACTATGGCTGTTGGCCAAATCTGGCCAACCACGTGTTTTTGTAAATAAAGTTTTATCAGAATACAGCCATGGTCATTTGTTGATCATTGTCCATGGCTCCTTTTGTACTACAATGGCAGAGTCAGGTAGTTAACAAAGTTAACAGAGTCTGCAAAGCCAAAAATATTTCCTATCTAGCCCTCTACAGAAAAAGTTTGCTAACCCCACTCTAGTTCATAGTCTAACATAATTTTGAAATATCCCGATTGGCACTCTTTGGTGGTATGTGGCAACAATCTATATTAATTCTTCTCCATACCACTGTTACTCTGGCCTTTGAGTTCTAATTCCAGTCCTCTTTTTTTTTTTTTTTTTTTTTTGTTTTTTTTTTTTTTTTTTTTGAGACAAGTCTTGCTCTGTTTCCCAGGCTGGAGTGCAATGTGCAATCTCAGCTCACTCCAACCTTCGCCTCCCGGATTCAAGTGATTCTCCTGCCTCAGCCTCCCAAGTAGATGGGATTAACAGGCGCCCATCACAATGCCCAGCTAATTTTTGTATTTTTAGTAGAGACGGGGTTTCACCATTTTGGCCAGTCTGGTCTCGAACTCCTGACCTCAAGTGATCTGCCTGCCTCGGCCTCCCAAAGTGCTGGGATTACAGGCATGAGCCACCATACCTAACCTGAATGCCTAGTCTTACTGGTATCTATCCCACCTGGCAAGGCTGCTCTTTTCCTCTCTGTCCTTTCCAGGGAGTTCATCCCTGTTCCTTGATTTCCATCCCTAACATACTATGCAAGTCATTACGGAAGTCTTGGCTAAAAGTCTGGGGTGATGGAAATAAGGCAAATAACTTTATATTGAGGACTAGACACCTAATCCTAAAAGTCCTCTGGCAAGTCACTCCTGCCCTTATTAGAGATACCTTCTTGGTCATCTCACTCTTTATGTCTTTATCATATTGTTTGAACCCATCTCTTCCTCAATACTCATATCTGAGTCTCCCTCGCTTTATCATGGAGAGCAATCATGCACTTCACTCCTAACTTCTATGGTGTACTTCTATATCCTGTAACACTGGTATGTATCAGTTATAGGAAAATAACTGAAATATATGAGGTGGAACATTTTTTGTGAGGCTGGAGGAACCTTGCTTCATCAGGCTTCAGGTTTCTTCAAGAAGCGGCATCAATTAGTAGAACACTTATGGCCTCTCTCCATTCCATATTCACTTTTCCCCAGGGAGGAAAGATGTCTAATGTTATAATAAGATTGGGATAAGGACCGGCCAGGAGCGGTGGCTCACTCCTGTAATCCCAGCACTTTGGGAGGCTGAGGCGGGCAGCTCATGAGGTCAGGAGATCGAGACCATCCTGGCTAACATGGTGAAACCCTGTCTCTACTAAAAATACAAAAAAAATCAGCCAGGCATGGTGGTGGACACCTGTAGTCCCAGCTACTTGAGAGGCTGAGCCAGGAGAATGGCGTGAACCCAGGAGGAGGAGCTTGCAAGCTTGCAGTGAGCTGAGATAGCACCAGTGCACTCCAGCCTGGGTGACAGAGAGAGGCTCTGTCTCAAAAAAAAAAAAAAAAAAAAACAGATTGGGGATAAGGACCAAGTGTGTTGCCCCTCCCCCAGACTCTTTCTCTTGGGCACAGCTGCCTAGAAGCCCACAATCTGGCCTTGCAGTTTATAGGGTAAGTCCAACTCAGGGGAATGGGGTTATCTTGTGCATGCACTGAGACAACTGGTGAAACAAAGAGTAAACTGTGATAAGAAAGATAATTCTTACAGATGCAAGCTTTCGGTGGGACAAGTCATGTATGTTTGGGAGGGTTTCCCCATTAGCAGACATTGAGACAAGGATTTGTGTGCAAGTGGTTTACTTGGAAGATGAGCCCAGGAAACACTAGTAAGGAAGTGGAGAAGGGAATGTAGCCAGTTAAAGATGCATTATCAAGCCAGCTACCACTGTGGGTGACTAGAGCTTAAGCCCATGGTAAACTCTGGGAATGGTGTAGAATGTGCACCTCAGAGCTATCCTATGGGAGAGGTGCTGGAGCTGAGGTATTTATACACCAACTCCTGTCAGTCATAAATTGAGGACTGCTTTTGGGGAATGTGACTTCCAAGGCTTTTCTGGCCTTCCCCACATCATAAAGCAGTCTTCTTTGGCTTTGGGGAAAACAAAACAAAACAAAACAAAAAACAAACAAAAAAACCAGGTGAAGAAATACAGATAACTGACAGTTGGAACCTTTTTCTGAGAAAGCTGAAGCTGTAAGACCAGAGGGATGTGGGTGGGGCCAGAACACTCAATGTCACTACTATAGCCTCTGGTGTTGGAGGATAAATTTGGTATCTCTTTCTTAGTTATGCATTCTTTAACTTTACTGCAGGACTTAAGGATTAAGACAATCAAATCTTGGGCTTTGGCAGGATTTGTTTTCCAGTCACCTAATTTCACGTTTGGCTATTAGATGTGGCTATTTTCAGAGGCCACAAGTCCTGGCCCATCTCCAGGGAGTCCCCTATAGTTGCCTCTATGAAAATCCACTGTATAGGGTGATCTGCCTGCCAGAGCCCCAGCTGCCTCCTCAAGATGAGGGCCATATTTCCATCAGTATTAGCAGCACTCCCAGTATCCCTATTGTTCCAAATCCATATTAAATGGCATTTCTGTACCCCCGCACTATGGATTCCCTGAGGAGAAGAGCTGCCACTGAAAAGAGTTGAAAATCTGAGCTATTAATTTATTTGTTCAGTGTTCTGAAAATCCTTTGGAGAAACTGATGCTGTTTGCTCCATCAAGATTGGTCAGTTGAAACTGGTGGTGGAAGGGCATGGAGGCCCAGATAGAGGAAAAGTAAGAGTGAAATAAAAATTACCACAAGAACCTGGTGCTGGAAAAGCAGGTTTGCTCAAAGATGAGAAGTAGAGGGAAGCTGGGGCAAGATAAAGAAAGTGAGGAAGGGACAACATGCCCACAAATAGCAAGAACAACAAAAAAAGGTTAAAAAACTTCCCTGGTCAAAAAAGCAGAACTAGTGGACAGAATGGGAAAGAGGAAAAATGCTGAGGGAAAAGAGGAAAATGAATTAACAATGGTTGTTATTACATTGAACAAGACACATTATCCTGGCTGGGCGTGGTGGCTCATGCCTGTAATCTACTTTGGGAGGCTGAGTGGGTGGATCACCTGAGGTCAGGAGTTCGAGACCAGACTGGCCAACATGGTGAAACCCCATCTCCACTAAAAATACAAAAATTAGCCAGGTGTGGTGATGCACGCCTGTGATCCCAGCTACTAGGGAGGCTGAGGCAGGAGAATCGCTTGAACCCGGGAGTGGAGGTTAGTGAGTTTGGAGATAGGCCACTGCACTCCAGCCCTGGAGCAACACAAGCCAGACTCCTATCAAAACACAAACAAACAAAACAAACAAAAAAGGCATTATCCTGTAAAACTAGGATCAAATCAATCCTACATGTGCGTTCAAAAGAGGATCTGTTAGAAGCAAAAGCACAGTCAAGGAACTCACTCCAGTGAGGGAGTTCTCTGAGCTCTAAGATACAATCCTACCGCGAAAAACCCAGAAAACTAACTGGAATCTGTTTGTACTCAGACAGCGTGGTCTCTGGCCAGCAGCTCTAGCATGACTAGGAGCTGCAGGAAGCAGAATCATCAGGCCCACCACGCCTACCCAAATCAGAAGCTCGCACTTTAACACAGTCCCTATGTTGATTTGTGAAGCAGCAGGGAAATTTGAGGAGCAATGATTAAAACAAAAACTTTCTCGGTTGTCTCACCACACTCCAGAGGGACAGGATCTATCAAGGTCTGGGAACAAAGTGGAGCCAGCGATCAAATACTATCAAGGTTGCTCTGGACCACCACTTGCCTCGTCTGCCTATTTTATATTTTGTTTGCACCCCAGGAGGCTGTCTGCTAATTCCACTCTCTAGGCCTGGATTTATCTGCTTCATAGGGCCATATACAGAAGACAAAGGTGCTGAGAGCTCACCATTTTCTTCACATTACCTCTCTTTAAAAAAATTTATATATATATCTATTGTTTATTTTGAGGCGAGCTATGGAGAACTGGCTCATTTTTATTCTGGTCTTGGTTTTTGGTAAAAGATGGGTCATTACTATTGTTGGCTCAGGCCTGACTTCAAATCTGGGCTCAGTGATCCTCCTGTCCTTTGGCCTCCCAAAGTGGCTGGGTTTAAAGGGATGAGCCACCACGCTCAGCCTCACATTATCTCTTAAGTCACTGGTAGAGAGACTGATTTCTTAGTCTCAATAATAAAATTACTGAGGAATGTGCTGATTGGCCCAACCTGAGTCAGATGTTCAGCTGGGAGGAGGGGCCATCTTATGGTGGGAACAAGGCAGCTCCCACTATAGCATATGGTTTGGGTTGGAGAATTTTGGAGAGTTTTGGAGAATTTTGGATAATCTAATTAGATGCTCACCTTTCACCCCATCTGAACAGCTTCTGCATTGGTGCATCTGGGAAAGTTATGACTTTAAAGATAGCAGCTCAGGTTTTCCTGGATCTTATTTAAATAAGACATTAAACAATGCCACCCTTGACCTGTGCCTAGGGGAGAGTGATCAGCAGTGCCTTCTTGAGGATCTCTGAATGAAGCAAATGATGTCCTACCCTCTGGTCACACTTTGCTGAAAAGTTAAAGGCCTTTGATAAGCTTCAGCAGCCGCAGAGTTGGCCTTGTTCTCATCCTGAGAGAGAGGGAGAGAGGGAGGGACAGAGAAAGGAAGGATTGTATCATTTCAGCATTTGTCACAGGTACTGGAATGTCCATTGACTATGAGCTAGCTGAACAGTTTGGGAATTGTTAGGGAACTTTAATTTTCAAACATGAATCTGGTCTCTTTGGACTGAGCTTGTAAACTATCACCCCAGGGGTAAAGTCATCATGGTGATTCTGATGATTCTTTTTTTAAGCCAAACCATCAGGCAAGCTGTTTCTGTGTGGTGGTAACTTAGTGTATTGGTATTATGTAGAGCCTTCAGTGATGAAAAAATATAAACATCCCATACCCATGGAAAGAACTGCTACTCCAGCAAAGATCCTCATAATATTAAAACAATGCTTAGGACACACTGCCATATCCAAAGGGCACATTTCATATAAGAAGGAGTTGAAACTGGAAAGAAGATTTGAGATTGGAGGGACTATTATTATTATTATTATTTATTCTACTTTAAGTTCTGGAATACATGTGCAGAACGTGCAAGTTTGTTACATAGAAATACATGTGCCATGGTCATTTGCTGCACCTATCAACCGATCAACCTGTTATCTAGGTTTTAAGCCCCGCATGCATTAGGTATTTGTCCTAATGCTCCCCCTTC